AAATACCAAAACATGAGGTAGAAAAATAGTCATAAAATAATAAATGACACAGCCTGAGATGGCACAATACAATTTCTTGTCATTTTAAGGTGCCTTCATGGATATTAAAAATAAAATATATATATACAGGTATATATTGATTAAACTTATTTTATTTTTCACTTTTTCCAAGTGGAAAAGGCACCGATTTCATGGAATGACCCGCTTATGAATCTTTTCCTTAAAACAAAGCACAGCAGTTAGAGAGTGCAGTTAGCTTCCTTGACTATAACAGGAGTTTTCCCCAGTGCAGAATGCTCTTAGCCTGCTTTAACTCTCACAATTTGAATAAGTTTAATTTTTCATGCTGCTAAGCTGGCCAAGGGCAACGCATACACTGCAATGGGAGTGATAACTGCATTTAAATGCATGAGTAAATCACCGCTCTGCGATGATTGACAATGATAACCATAGCAACCGACAGAACAAAAACTTCTTAACAGAACTTTGCCATAAACAGTAGTCTTGGCTGAATACATTCAGTAGATTTAAAGGGATAGTTCACCCAGAAATGAACATTTGTAGTTCATCCAATATGTAGGTGACACTTTTTCTTCAGTAGAGCATTAAAGAAGATCTTTAGCTGAAAGTGTGGTCCTTGGTGATTCAAACAATGTCCAAAAAGCATATTGAGGCTGAAGTTGATTCGATATCGTCAGTCAACGTTGTCAGATAACTTCCTTTTGAACAGAACAAGCTGTAAATGCCATTCTTTTAAGTTGTTAAAATATAATTCTGCTTATTAGAATTACAGGTGCACTTTGACTCCATTTACACATGGTATTAAATGTCATTGTGGAAGAGATTGAATATTTGCAGCTGAAGTTTGGCCTACATGCATCTGGAGTAAGGGTGGGCGATATGGCAAAACTATAATATCACGATTTTTTTTTTTTTTTTTAGAAATATCACTATTCACGATTTTGATGATCATTGCCGAAAAAAGAGGAGTAAATAAAAAAATTAACACACTATATAGAACATTTTTCTATTTTTTCTCCAACAAAAAACAGAGTTTTCATGGTTGCGGTTGCCAAGTGTCAAGAGTTTAAATCCCCCATCACAGCTTTTCTTTAAAAGGGACACATTTGTGTTTTAGTTTCTTCCCAACCTGGCAACCTTTGCACACACTGATGATCTGAAAACATTGACAAACATGCAAGTTTAGAGATATTCTGCTCAAGTGAAAGTGTAAAACAGCCACGTCTCTGCCAAAATCTGCCATTAAACCTTCTCAGTGAGGAACTGTAATAAATCCAAACATTGATCTCGATTATATTGTTTGCGATTGAGGTTGTTGAATAAATGCACTTGCACAACTTCTGCGCCTCAATACAAAGTCTTATTTTTTTTTTTAATAGAAAGACTTGAATATAATTTGGATATTCCTAATTAAGGAATATTTAAGCTTTTGAGTTTTCCCAGTTTTCGTAATGTAGAGAGTTTTTATCAGGAAACTAGATGAGGGGGGATTATAATGATTATAATTTTAACCATTATGCAGCATGACTAATATGTGACTAAGTTTTAATTGACTAAATCTAGACTAAACATTAAATAAATAAACCAACACAACACGGGTCAGACTGACTAAATCATGTGTCTTTACGCAGCTCCTCCCACTGGATTCCAGCATCGTGGAAGAGCACAAGAGAGAGATCCTGGAGGCCAAACAGATCGCCCGCAAACTCACCATGGTGCTCGTCCCCTCCGAAAAGACAGAGGACAAGGAGAAGGAAAAGGAGAAGGAAGAGGAAAAGAATGAGAAGGTAACTTGTTTTTGCTGTAGCATATTCATTAAACGAAAACTGAAGCACCAGACAGAAATGTGAAAAATGACTGTTCAGTGGTGCTATTAAAGGAATAATTCACCCACAAATAATCATGTTATTCCAAACCCACACTGAAGGGCTTGAACAGAAATACAAGCATCGTGTTTTGGCTTTGCTTGCCTTATAGGCTTCAGTTGTAAGTGCTTTTATGTAAATGCTTTTCATATTTGTTCATATACGCTGAATGACAAGCCAAAGTTGCCTGTAGTAATCATCAATTGGCCATAAATGTGACTTTTGGTTTAAGTTTCAGCATTTTTTTTGTATGTATTTATTTAGTTTAATAATTATGTAGCTTTAGATTTAGTCATTTTAGTACTTCAACTTATTTCATTTCAGTTAGTTGCTACGACAACATTTCTCATTAGAGTTTTCATCTGGTATTTTATTAATTTTCTCAGTTTACAAAACTAACACTTGCAGAAGAGTTTAGAATAGTTTTATGATGTAATAGTATAAATGCATGTAAATGTCAGTGGTACATAAATGGCTTTTGCTGGGCTGATCAGACGCTTGATTACAGCAGAGCATGTACAGACACTCAGCATGCACTGCGTCTGACAGCCTCGGATTCACAAAATGCACTTCCATATGCAGAGATAAGCTGCGGTTTAGCCATGCTGTTTACTAAGTTGATGATTTAAATGAAACCAGCAGCGTATACTTGAAGAATATGCATACAGAATGCACACAGGGCTTTAAAATCCTGAGAAATAGCAGCAGTAGACATTAATAATGTTTAATTATAATTCTCACTTCAGTTCATCATTTAAAAGTATGTACTTTATACGCTTAAATGCAGCCTTCTTGAACATGAGACTTTTCAAAACGCTTGAATAAGGACAAATTGAATTAAAAATGACCATACGTATATATTTATTCCTAATGAATCAGAGGGTTGTCCCCTTGTCTTACTTAATGTAACTAAATAAAACAGTTTCGACCAAAACTGTTTGTCATTTAAAGCATGTTAAATTTGCTGAACAATTTGCATGGAAAGCTTGTGTCAGGGACATCACTTTTGCAGAGATTAAATAAAGAAGACAAGTTTCAAAACAGGTTTATATTAAAGGGTTTCTTACGTAACACGTATATCAAAGTACACCAGACTACGAAACACAGAGTGCTTTTACGGTGCATTGTGGTTCAATGAGAGAATTGCGCATGACAAGGAATGAAACAAATGAATCAAAAAAGTTGTGAGTTGCAGCCTAGTTGAAACTTCTTTTTCCACCTCTGACTGAATATATGAGAATCCGTATTTTAGAGCTGTTGTTGTGGCTTTGCATTAGTGTGACTTGTAAGCTGTATGAAACAACACAGATGGTGTGCGTGTCATCTGTCTCTGAAGATAAGAATCCCCTCAGACTCCTCAGCAGAAGAGATAATGAACAGAGGAGCGTGTAATGATGCCGTATGTGGAGGTGTGGCCTCCGCTCCTCTAATCTGTCTCTCCTCTCATGTCAGCCTCCTGATAACCAGAAGCTGGGGCTGCTGGAGGCGCTGCTGAGGATCGGTGACTGGCAGCATGCTCAGAGCATCATGGATCAGATGCCAGCTTTCTACGCCACCTCCCACAAGGCCATCGCCATCGCACTGTGCCAGCTGCTGCACCTGATCGTGGAGCCGCTCTACCGCAGGTACGGCTTTCAGACGCACGCTCTGTCCTGGGCCTGGAACAGCATTTGCTGTTGGTTTAAGTATG